GTGGTGAATGCTCTGGTTGAGAGGGAAACAATCATGCCGACCTTTCCATTCTGGTTGACCAAACACCACATTTTACGCTCGTCGTGTTCACTTTGTTTTTATTGTTTGGGTTTCATCCATAAAATCCAACAATCAATACAATCTAGGAACTCCTAACGTCCTAATCCCTCCCAAAATTATTGGGGACAAAAGTAGAGAATGATATGTCACACCAATAATATATATATATATATATATATATATATATATATATATATATAAATGATTTATAAAATTATTGGGGACCACTAATTTAGTTATTCAATTGAGATGGAAAATTCATATTTGTTTAATAAAATATCAATTTTGCACTACATATGAAAAGTGATTTTTTTTTAATTAACTTACTATAATGTCATTTCTTAACGAATAACGTTTAAACAACAATTTTATATATATAAAAAAAAAAATAATACTAATTTGATGACATATTTTTTATTAAATTTGCATAAACTTACCTTTAATTCTTGAAATTAATTGTTTAAATAAAAATTATAAGGAGAAAATATAAAAACAATTTAATCATTTCTTAATTTTTCATGAATGTATTGGCTGAAAAGAATGTACTTTTTATTTAACTAATTTATTAATCTTTTATCAACATATTGTATGAAAACGAATGTATTTTTTATGGTATATAAGAAATAGTATTCATAAGTAGGAATGGCAACAGGGGCGGGTTTGGGCAGGTATACCCTCCCCCACCCCCGTAACAGTTTAAAAATCCCGCACCCGTCTCCGCCCAAAACCGCGAAAATGTGAGAACTTTCCACCCTATCCCTGTAACCGTTTAATATTTTTACCTCAGCGGTTATCCGCCCTGCCCCATTTAAGACCATAATTTATTTATTGTTGAAATAGATTTGTTCTTTTTTTTTTTTTTCTCCTCATCTTCAATTCTTCACTATTGCAGCTTTTCTTTTAATCAAATTCATTTGTTACTTTAATATTGTTATATGGGGTATTTAATATATAGTAGTAAATATATATACTAATGAAATAAGGGTACTTATGTAATTTGTTTATCTAAACGGGGTGGGGCAGTGTGGGGCGACCTCCCCCACCCTCGAACCAAATTCGCGCGGATTTTTATTACATCAAATCATCTCCGCCCAAATAAGTAAAACGATCCTCCAAAATTGCCAAAAACGAGACGGGTAACCGCGAGAACGAATCAAATTGTCATCCCTATTCATAAGTCACAACTCTATTATATTTTTTTTCACTTCTATGGTCAATTGACTAATAATAAAATTCAGGTAAATGGTGTAATTAATATTTATATTAGAAAAAAAGATAATAAAATAATTTAATAAGAAACGATCAAATAATATTTTATAATAAATTCATCTTTAATTATAATAAATCATTAATTCAAGGGTCAGTTTGTAGCTTAGGGGGTATTTGAAATTTATTTTTTTATTTTTTACACTTTACCCCTTCTTATTTTGTTTATTGATTAAAAACAAAAAATAGATTTTTTTTTTTCAGAAAAAGAAAAAAAAATCTAAGAAGAAAACACGTGGTGGGTCATGGATGTTCATTTTTGTCAATCCAAATAGTAACTTGGCCAACAAAATCCAGCCATCCAAAGCCACTAAAAATGCAGTATTGATGACCCATGTCAGCCTTATTTATGAGCCGCGCTCTGCATGTGCCTCAATTAATAAGCATCATTGCACACGACATTTTATTCAACACTCAATTTTTTATTCAGAGTTTAAAGTAAGTAAATGTGGGATATATATTCGGTGTGCTCGTGGTCGTCAGAGCCATCAGTATCATTAATATTGTGCAAGCGTCCTAGCATGGTATGCACAAACAACTCTAATATGTTCGGTATATTATATATTATGATTCCTCGTATCAATTGATACGTAATATTTTTTAATTTATAACACTTATTTAAGAGTATTATTATCACAGTTAATAAAATATGGTATAAAAAAATACAAATATAAAAATATACGTATATAATTAGATATTTTTTAAAAAATACGTTTAAATCATTTTAAAAATATGAATACAAATGCGTAGGTGTATAATATATTATATGCGCTAAAAATTAGAAACCAAAAATTCGGATATATACATCTTATTATTTTTTTGTATATCATATATTTGTAAGGACAATGAATAATTGGTAACAAATAATAAAATAAATATATTACAATTAACATTATCACAATAATCATAATAGAAATAAACTATATAATTATAATTAATCAATAACCATTCGTCCGTTACATGATCAATTCACCACAAAATTAATGAATTTTTTTTTTAATTCAATTAATCAACTATATTGCCTAAATTAAAAATAAAATGTAGTTGCTTGAACCTCTAAGCGTATTTTTGAACAAATTTCAATACCTCTCCCTTTTACCCAGATAAATGTGATTTGACTATTGAAATACCTCCATGATAGTTAGAGTTTTATTTAACATAATCCTAAAATGCATCCTTTTTTTTTTTTTCATTTTTCCTAGATTGTTTTTCATAAATAGCCTATATATTTATAATTAATAAATGCATAAGTATATGGTGTGATATTTGTGAAAATATCTTTATATTCTACTAAAACATCTAGTAAATGTGGTGATTTACAAACTTCCATCATAATAATAATAATATTAATAAAAAAGATACTAACAAAATAAAAAATTTATAAATATCTACAAATATCAATAAAAATATATGATTATTTGAAATTATAGTGTTCCATAATGTATATATATGTGTGTGTTTCATTACTTTGATTAAAAATTAAGCATTTGATTGAAAATAATAAGAAATTAAAAAAAAAAAAATTAGAGTAACAATAGAACAACTGAGATTGTATACAAATAGTATTATTTTGATAATGTGAAAAAGAAGGGTTATACCAAAACCATAATTTATATTAAGTATGTGTGTTTGACAAAAATACACAATTAGAAACGTGAATGAAATTTAAAATAAAAAATAAAAAAAAGATTACCTAAAGTATAAACACGAATTAAAAAGGGCAACTAAAACAAATAAACGCATTATATGATTAAAAAAAAAAACGGGAGTATTTTTTAAAAATTTATATGTACATATTTAATTAGCATATTATACGCGAATTTACTAATTAGGACCCTTACATACCTCAATGAACAGATTAATTTGGTTAATTTATACTAATATTCGTCTTAGGCCGCGACCTTTACCCGATTGGCCCATTGCAAACAACGCCGTGCACAGCATAATCCTTCACCTGATATGGGCATTCCATAAATACATGGGCTGTGAAAAGAATTTATTGATAATATCAAAGGATATTATCCACTAATACTTTATCTCTATCCACTTGACAGTTGTCCTCTTCTGATCCTCCCAAATTCTATGTGTATTAAGAAAAGGATATGTTCTTTTTCCTCAACCACCGCCAAAGGACTAATAATAATATGTGTGTTTTGGTGGTAAAAATGAAACAATACATACAAGTTCACCAATATTTCATGGTTTAATCTCATTAATATAAAGGAGTATTAATCATCTTTTTTTGACTTTCTCGTTCAATTGATTTAATATTTTTTTTAAAGAAGCACATAGTTTTTAATGTTTGGATTGTTTAATTGGTGTACTTTGTGGTCTGAGTAGCAATACTCTTTCAAAACAAGTTTTCCTGGCCTGCCCTAAATGATTTTGTCACACTCTGTCATGATTTAGGTTATTTAATTCATTTGACCATCCTCATCCTTTCAAATCTTGCACCATCTAGAAATGAATTTATTAGCAATGACTTGTATAGCCAAGGGGTTTGAAAATATATATATATATATATATATATGCAAGTTTTTTTATTTTTTCTTTTTTCGGGGGATTAGAAAGATGATATACCAAATTATTTATGAACTAAAAATACTTTATAATCTCTTAAAAAAATATATAAATCTAATTATATTTATGTTTTCTTTTTTCTTTTCAAATGGGTGCTTCCAAAAATAAAGTTAAAAAGAAATCAAATTGAGGTTTCTTTCCCGGTTCAAAATTAATTATTCTTTCGTATTTTGAAATTAATTTATCATTCATATCACATTAATTTTGAAGGAGCATGCATTTCCTAGTTCTAGTAGATTATAAGTTAAATATTGTCAAAGTTAAATATTGTCTAACTTATTTTAAGTTGAATTCATTACAGATTGACAAATGACATTTAAGATCTATCTACTGCTATTATTAAATCATGTCAACTAATTTAAAGAAAGTTTGAAAATTGTGAAAAATTTACGAAAATTTAAAAACTGCAAAAAATTTACGAAAGTTAAAAAACTGCAACCTTTTGAATTAAGAAAAATTCATCATATTCTAACGATGTTTAACGTCGTTATCTCTCCCTCATCTTTTCTAAAAAAAAAAAAGATCTTCCCTCTCTTCTTCTTTTCTTGCTCATTCCCACGATTGGGGGAAAATTTCACAGCAAAAATTAATGTTGTTTGCCATGGAATTAAGATTGATGATAATATAATTGCAAGACATGCAACTTTTACCGACAATTGTAATAGTTGGAAAAGAATATATATATAGATAACCATGTTAGAGTATGATGAATTTTTCTTAATTCAAAAGGATGCTGTTTTTAAATTTTAGTAAAATTTTCTTATCTAAAAAATAGTATAATTTTTAAACTTTCTTATTTTTAACTTTAGAGAATTCAAGTCTACTCGTTGTATAAATTACCTTAGCATATATTACCCCAAAAGGTCCGAATGCACCATTAAAAGAAAATTTTCTTTTCATGTGAAAAGAATCTTGTCTCAATCCGATGCATCAAAAAGGCACCATTATACAGTTACTTTTCTGATAAATACCAGCTTGTATTACCATGAATTGGTTGTATATTAGATTTACATAATTAATTAATTAATTAGAAATTAGAAGTAACTGAAATTTGGATTTCCTTATATTAGATTATTATTAACCCAAAAAAGAACAAATGACAACGAAGAGAGAGAGAGAGAGAGAGAATATCAACTTCTCAGTTTGAGTGACTTGTGGGGGGTTATATCTACTTTTTGCCCTTTTCTCTGCTATCATCCTAATCTCCTGTTTCATTCCTGTAAAATTAGGGTTTGAGTTCGATCTTTTTGGGACCATCATGGCATCATCCAACGAAGAAGAAGCTGGCGAGTTTCAAGACTGGGAGGTGCTCCACAAATCGGACGATACAGGCCTGGTTAACTCGTCATACTCGGTTGAGAACCTCAAGGGTTTGGAGGAAATCGGGAGTGACTCCGAAGGTATGATTCGCTCCGATTACTTCTCTCTAGATTCCCATAGAAAGTACGTGAGGTCTGTTCCGGAGGCTGATGTGAGTGAGGGAGGTTCCGTTGAGTCCGACAATCCGAGTTGGATTGATCCCGGGACGGAGACGCGGTATCCGAGGAAGGAGTCGGCCGAGTTTTGGTCCGATTCCGGTAGTGATCGGTCTGAAGATCGTAAATTTGGTGAGTTTGATGCTAAAAACGAACTGGGTTTTGTTGAAAATGAAAAAGTTCAAGTGGGTCTCAAAGAGATTGGAGAAATCGAGACCCATAGTGAAAATTCCGGGAAATACTGGTCTGATTCGGGTGGAATCATTCCGATTGAAATGAGATTTGAGGACTTGGAGAAGGACAGTGAGATGGGTATTGGTTATTATGCTAATTCACAAGAGGGGCCGGAGCTTGCAGGCGAAGAAAAGGGTGACGGCGGAGATGATAATTCGGTTGGGAATAAAGATGTTGCGATTGTACCAGTGAAATCGAGTGGAACGGAAGAGAAGAGGAGTGTGGTGTGGTGGAAGCTTCCATTGGAGTTCTTGAAGTATTGTGTCTTCAGGGTTAGCCCTGTATGGACTTTCTCTGTGGCAGCAGCTGTGATGGGCTTTGTTATTCTGGGACGCAGATTATATAAGATGAAACAGAAGTCTCGAAGCTTGCAGCTGAAGGTTACTGTGGATGATAAGGTCAGTTCTTTAAGGCATTTAGTTTTATTTTGCTACCTATTTTTTATTTTTTGGTTTGAAAGTGGTTTTCTTTTGGTATTTAATCCATTAGTGTGGTACATTTTGGTTGAATTTGAGATTGAACTGCACCTTATGGTTTTCCCAGGAACTATAATCTAAATCTTTTGGTATAGGGAACTTTTATTGTTCATTTGCTAAAATTTAAAAGGATTGTTGCATGACCATAATGTGGACTGGATTGAATTTTTATTTTAAAGGTTACAACCTTGATTGGTTATGCAATTGGTTGTTATATAATCACATTTGGATTCTAATTGAGATGTGTAATTGATGTTGTTTACATTTAGTTTTTGCTTTTCAAGCATATTTTTTACAGGCGTTTGTAGATTATATAGAGGATACTTAGCTGTATAGAAGGAGCTTAATAATTGTTCTTCTGTTTACTACGTTTGTGCACAGGTAGTGCCCTCTATGATGCGCTTCTTTGAATACACTTCTAAAAAAAAAAGGAAAAATATTTGATTTCCCCCCTTGGATCTTTTTTAAAAGTATTTAGTAATTATTCTGAGTAATAGAAGTGTTTATAGACCCTACTAGATTCTACATAATCAGAATTACAATATGTTTTAGCATTTAGTCTGAAGAAAATATACATAAAAGTCTAAATATGTGTGTATCATTTGGCATTCTCTTATGTGATAAAAGTATTAAAGATACCTTTTTCTAAATTTCTGCAATTCTGGTTGACTGCATGGCAAACATATTGTAAGACATCTAAACATCATAGTAATTTGGAAGCTTGCCAGGATGCTGGCTAATTCAATTACCCGTTTGGATGTTGGCCAGTTATATATGATGGCCTGATTCTAGAGGTCTTGCATTAAGTTTCTCCTTTGGTTGTCCTTGTGATGCGCCAATATTATTTAGCAGTTGAAGGGAGATTTCTATCTTCATAGAAAAAACATCTTTTCTTGTTTTGAGGATGCACCCTATCATCAACTGAATCATTAAAATGAATTTTGACTCGAAGTTGGAGTGCTATAATGAAATGTAAATTCCATTTAGGATACTATAATTGTCAGTTTTGACGAACCTATTTTACAATGGCTCAAATGAATAGGATAAGTATTTGGCCTTTGCAGCTTAAGTCCTAGAGTTGACTTAAGTCCCAAAGTAGTTCAGTTACTATGATAATCACAATATGAAAAACATGTGTCAGAGAGAACTTTGTACACTTTTGCATAGTTTCTCTCTTTTTTTTTCCCTATTATTTTAAATTTTAGAAGCATGTGTAGGTATCACTTTTAAAATTTCAGTTCTAAATTCATTTTCATTGGTAGACTATTGAAAGAGGTGAAATTTGCTTCACTTTTTCAAAAGAGGGAAATGATTGCAGTTTAATCTTGAGTGTCTACAAAATGCTGAGGCATCTTTAGCTGAAATTTTGACCAAGAGAGCTTGTGGAACCGGGTTTTGTGTTTTTAAAAAAAAGTCTGCATGGGATAATTGGACTAAAGGAGGAGCTCATGATAAGCATGTAGGCATTCCCTTAGTAGCCTCGTTCTCTCACTCCCTCTCTCCCTCTCTCTCTCTCTCTATATATATATATATGTATGCATGTATATATGAAAATATTGCATGAATACTAGAAGGTTTGCATAGATTACGAGGCATGTCTTTGTCGAATGATGCAAGCATCAAAATAGTCTTATAGAAGCTGCTAGTACTAGCAGCCTATGGTTGAAATGTACATCGAGTCCAAAACAGTGTCTCAAAGTAAATTAAATATATGTAAGCAGCTTCATTGTTGTGATCTTCTGTGAGTAAATGGTCTTAAATGTTGGGGAAGTTACATAAGATATGGTGTGTTTGGTTATGGAACATTTTGAAATTTCTAAGCAATACTTCACGTTCAACCTTATTCGAAATATCTATTTGGGTTCTCTATATTCTCTCGGATGGGAATGGATTTAAGTGAAAGTAAGAAATCAAAATGTGGTCTTGTGGTGTTAAGGATTTTCACTTGTTGGTCGCCTTCTTTCTTTCTTTCTTTCTTTCTTTTTTGGTCTGTTGTGCTCTTTTGCTTTCCGGTTCCATGAAAATTGTTTTACAAGAACTGAAGGGTGATGCATTTCCAACTGTTTATCATTTCTGTTCAATATTTTGCAGAAGGTATCTCAGTTCATGAGCCGTGCTGCTCGTCTTAATGAAGCATTCTCGGTAGTGAAGAGGGTCCCTATCATTCGACCATCACTGCCAGCAGCTGGAGTGACTCCATGGCCTTCTGTGATGAGTTTGAGATGAAAGTCATACTGTGAAATAGTTAGGAGCGAGCAGCGTGTTCATGAGGTAAATCTAATATTATATAGTTTTCATGTATTTGCTTGTATAATGTGTGTTCCAGCTTCCTTCATGTGTGGACCTTGAAGTCTCCAAAAGACCTTTTATATATCTTTTAAAGTTTGTGTACAAACTCTGGATGAAATCTCTTTCAGTCCCTGATATTTCTTTTTCATTTTTATACTTCTTGGGTCCAACTGGTATAGCCACCCACCTACCACAACTTTCTTTGTATGAAGAAGATGGATAAACCGAAGAAATTTATTTTGTGTGTAATATTTATATCTCTTGGTCTTCACGGATACAGGATTTCTGCCTTGCTTGTATACGTTAAAGTACTCTTTCTAGCATATTTTGATGAAATCGTTACGGACTACAAAAATGTCACGATTTATAAGAACACAACTCTGGTTTTGATGGGCCGGTGAATGTGTAAGCAAATCATCTGAAAGAAATACATGGCTGCAGAATTTTCTTCTCTGGCCTCAAAAGGGTGAAACCTGCATCAAAGGGAAGACAATATGTGCAAGTCCGGGTGCCATTTTCGCGGCCAATGAATTTACCAAATCTGCATCTTGCATGCTTGTTCCATATCTCATGGTAGTAATGGTATCATTTGGTTGAGGATACTATTTTTAAAAAGTGTGTTATTTACCCCTTATTTTTTAAAGATTGAGCGAAAATATCCTCAAATTATTTTGTGCAAAGATCCAACATTAAGTAATGATCGTTTTGTCCTTTTACTCTTTCGGAAATATCCAAGGAGTGTGTATGCTAATAATATCATAGTAGGGGGTGTTATTTGCACCCAAAGTATTGTTCATTTATTTAACCCACTCTTGAAGATTTTCTCACCTTTCAAAAATAAAAATAAAAAAATTCTCTATATATTTCCATTAAAAGAGTGTATCATCTCTTTGGATTCTCTCTCTTTGAGGGGATTGTTTTACATTTCTTGGGAGTTAATGTCATTAGTGAGTTATATGTATTTCTTTTACTGGTCAAATTATCTCAAAAAAGAATATATTTATTCTTGCAGTTGTCAATATACATAATATGATATGGAATGAAACCTGAGTTCTTCTATAATTATAAAAAAAATAAAAAATTGTTCTCAGTTAAAATTTAATATAGTTATTATTTTTATTAAATATATAATTTAAAAACAAATGGGTGTTTAATATTTACTGAAAAAATAAAAAATAAATGGGTGTTCAATCAACCCCGCTTTAGAAGTGTTTTTGGCACTTTACCATACCTTAAGAGTTGGGTTTTTTTTTTTTTTTTTTTTTTTTTTTTTTTTTTCACATTATAAAACGACTTCTTTAAAAATAATGTGTAAATTAGAGAAATCTGGTGAATTTTTTTTGCATAAATTGATACTTTAGTGTATCTTTTGTACATTAGGAGTGTAATACGCAATATAAATATATTGTATGAGTGTTTTGTGCACTTTACCCATCGTTTATTTACCCATTGTTATGGCCTGATATGCGCTATAAGAATGCTTGTGCATGAATAAGGTCAAAAGGTTGTAATACTTGATGTTGATGTCATTGGCTATGGTTATAATACGTCATTGGCTTTAGATTTAAGTTTATTTCTTTCCCCTGGTGAGACCGGACTTTTGCTGTGGAACAAAAATTGGCTCAATGGAAGGAATATATTCTCATCTTTTGAATCTAGACTATATTTTCTTTTTTAAAATATAATTTTATTCGACACACTACTCACACATATAAAGTGAGTACGGGAGTGAAAGTATAAAAGTAACAAAATTTAAATTACATAAATGAGAATAAGAACGAGTGTGTGCGCGAAGCGCAGAAATGGGAGCGTCGCTAAATGTGAGAGCGACATCTAGCAAATCATTTTTTTTTTTTTCACAAAGGATCGTGATGTCTTTTCATGGGAACAAAAATGGGCTGGATTGAAGGAATATATTCTCATCTTTTGAATCTTGACTATATATATATATTTTAAATATAATTTTATTCAACACACTACTCACACATATAAAGTGGATACGAGAGCGGAAGCGCAAAAGTGACAAAATTTAAGTCACATAAGTGAGAATAAGAGCGAGGGCGTGCACAGAGTGCGAAAGTAAGAGCACTGCTGAACATGAGAACGACATCCGTTTAGAAGAATTATGTAAGTTAGCTTACATATCCACTTTGTTCTTTGAGACTCGAATAATTGTCATTCACTTTGAAAAATATATTAGGTGCACCTGGCGCGGGTTCATCCAAACCTTAAGTATTATGTATGCATTTGCACATATTATACACGTGCAACTCAAATAAACCTGATATGCTGTAGCACACCCAATACCTTCTCCATGCCTGAGTAGAGCAGATACCAGTGGAGTTCTAGAATACAGAGATGCAGTTTTGAGCACGAATGGACAATGTAGAGGGAATCTTCACTTATTTTATTCTGATTTTGTTAAAACAAAAAGCGATTTATTTGACTCTAGTGCTTGATACTTTGCATAGGTTTTGACATTAATAGCGTTTTTGACTTTCCTTGATATTTTTCATAGATTTCGACATCAATCCTGTTTTTATAATTATTCTCTCCTTTAAAAATATAATTAGAGGTAAAAGACAAAATAACCCTTATAAAGTTGTGAAAATAAGGAAATTACAAGGCCTCCTGGTAAAGTCCCTTTGGATTTTTCCTTCTGAAGGTAATGCATTTAAGCTTAAGTTTTTAATAATCCTAGTAACAGTGACTAGAAAATCAGTATTTCAAAATCAAACCAATTATTTAAGGGCATGTTTGGTATGCATGAACAGAACGGAACTACAAGATACCATTTCTGTATCCATATATGCATGTATATAATATATATAGATGCAACTTTCATTGAAGGCCAGCCATGCAATTAAATGGTTAGAGCTTACTCTCATGCAGTGTCTTCTATTATTGTAAGGGGCATTTTAAAATATATATATTTTTTTCAAACTAATATGATAATTAGTAGTGCAACAAGATTAACAAATCGAAAAATATAATTTACAGTAACAATAATAAAATAGCAACATTAACTCTTGTAAAAAGAACTAATAATGCTAGATCTAAATAAAGGTCTTGGACTTCTATTCTTGTACAGTTTGACCAACATAGTCATTCTTTTTTCCTTCCATTCTTTCACACAGGTATGGCTCAGAGGAATTTTGTTCAACATGTGGCTCATCTTCTTCCTCGCTTTCAACAAAATCTTGACATATTCGAACATAAACGAGTTCAAAGAAAGAAGCTTGAGTTCATTTCGTTTACTTACCAAAACATAATCACGCCAAGCTTTGATTGAGTCGAGCTCGAGCTGTGAGGAGCTCGAGGTCTGGTGATATCTTCTTCACATTCCAGCCCCCGGTTCACCAACAGTTCTAGTGGTATCTCCTTCGCGTTCCAAGTTGTGGGCTGGGTATCTAATGTCATGAAATCCAAATGAAGTCCATTTCCTTGTATAAACCAACCATATGTGTAAGAGTGAAAAGAACAAGAAAAGTGAGGATTATAGAGTTAGATAAATGTAGGAGATCTTCTGACCTAAATATTCATAACTATAAGAGAATCGATTGCCACATCAAAATAGAATCCTATAATGTAAATCAATTCATTGCTAAGTAAAATATGGAGCCATCACCAGAAATGGTTGCAAGCTATGTGACCCCAAAAAAGCCCCAGAAGCTCGGAAAATTTCATACATTGTCGTTGTATTTATCACCATGACAGAGAGATTGTCACGTTACAGAGCTTGGCATAGTCTATCAGTCCACAACACTACATTAGCAGTTATGCAGGTTTGGATTATCTAACCAACAAAACACCTAGCCTCCGCTTATAGGAGGTATGATGGCCAGTTCATCTCCATCTTTAACAACTGCAGATTCAGTTGTGTATTCCTGAGCCGGGACCCTGCACCCCCGGATCTCTTTCAAGCTCGGAACCTTGAACCTAAATCATGTACCAACTAAATCATAAGGACTCCAGGAACATAAAAAAATAAAATAAAATAAATAAATAAATAAATAAGAGACACAACCAAAAACACTAATCCTACATCTGCAAACTAAATGATGAAATCATGGAAGGAGAAAATTCGACAGCAAAAAGAAAAACAAGAAAGAGAATACATCGATATATTGAACTACCACATTGACCTACTGTACCATTTTGAATATTGAACTAAAGCAGAATATATGCCTCCCAACTCTTTACAACACACTTCCTGAAACAGATACCCTGCACCCTAAATAACAGAGCACATGCGGAACCCTAGTTCCTCACGACTGAAAATCGAGCAGAAATTCCTAGAAGAAATAACTCCTCACTATTTTTAACCTACAGTGCCATATAAATACTGATCTAAACAAAACAATGTCTTTCCACACCTTTACAGCAAATATCCAAATCAAAGAAATCCAATAAACACTAAAACAAAAAACTCTCAAATTTAGAAACCCTAATGCCTCAATGATTTCTAAAATATGTTTCAATCTTGAATAAAAAAATCTCAAAAAAAAGAAAAAAAAAAAGAAGAAAAGAAAGAAAGAAACACAGAAAAGATGCTCAAAAGGTAGGTTCCTGATTGATCTACAATGCCATATGATTTTATCCAAACAATCCAAAATTTAAACAAAAGGTCATTCCACTTCTTAGCAACTCAATTCCGCAATCAATTAACCTTAAAAATTTGAAACATTTCAAAGAAAATTAATATACAATAGATATACACAACGGAGAAAAAGAACAAATGAACACTAGCGAAAATGAGTTTGGAGGCTGGGTCGACGAGCTTCAAGAGCCAACCATTTCAGGTCTGATAACAAATTAAGCAATATCAGGAAACAATTAATGTGTAGAAATCATAATATAACACAAAAAAAAAAAACTCAAATCATGGAGAGTTAAAAAGTGAACTCTTTACCTGGACTTTAAACCAAATTTAAATAAGAAATTGATCGAGCCATAAAAATCAAAGAAGATGAAGATTGTCTCAATTCAAGAAGCCCCCTTAATTTAGAATATAAAATTTGGATGTCCTGCCAAATGGTGCATTATCCAATAAAATTTTATAGAGTTTTTTTTTATTGGATATTAACACACCTTTAATGTGTTATATATATATAACATGTAAAAGAAAAGTCCCCTAATTCTCTCTCTGCCGACCTCTCTTTGGTGCTTAACTCCTCCATGCACCAAGTGGTGGTTGGGTATCTAATGTCATAAACCAACTGTGATGGACCTCTAACATACATTCTCTCTCACCCGAACTTGTAACACCCTTGTTGTGGTAAGGCCACCCTGCCTACCCGGCAAACACGGACCCATTGTTGGCAGGACACCGGATCGCTCTTATACCAATTGTAATGGAACAGGGTTCCAAGGACTGGGTCTAACTCTTATATCAACTGTAATGGGTTGGGCGCTTGCCCTCTAACCTAAAAGCTTAAGCTATTGGGTAATGTTGCATACCCACATGTTGGATAGAAGAAACGCACGAACAAATGAGATCCAAGGAGACCCAACAAAGCAATCAGACACAAACACAAGATATAACGTGATTCAGCAAAAACCGGCCTACATCCCAGGACGAGAAGAAATTCCGCTATGATTCGTAGAGATATTACAAAAATAGAGTACCAACACTGCATACATGTCTTTTCACTCTGTACCAATCCACGAGTTTATCTCCTCGTTATCAGTAACCCTCGGTGTTTTCCCTACTCTACCAACCTATAAACTATCTTTACCCATCAACCCCTCATAAGACTACATCTCTCTAAATCTCATAAGTCTCAATCCAAACCTAGATACCTATTTATAGAGTTACAAACACAATTCCTTGTTGGACAAGGATTACAATTGCTTGGAGCCCAAGACTTGCTTAACAAGAAATTTCCTAACATAATACAACTTTAAAATATAAACCTAATTAGAATAGGAATTTGAGACAATTTCCAACACCACCCATTTATACCCATTTCACTTTCCATCCGGATCCGATGTAAGACATCTCTAACACCAATCATATATGTGTAGGAGTGAAAAGAACAAGAAAAATGAGGATTATGTAGTAAGATAAAAATAGATGAACCACTGAACTAAATGTTGATAACTAAGAGAATTGATTATCACATTGAAATAGAACCCTATAATGTAAACGAAGTCACTGAGAAGTCAAATATGGATCCATCACCAGAAATGATCACAATATGTTAAATGGTTTCAAATCCTTTCAAGCTATGTGACCCCAAAAAACCCTAGAAGCTTAGAAAATTTCATACATTATCATTGTAGTTTTGAGATTGTCAGGTTACAGAGCTTGGCATAGCCTATCAGTCCACAGCACTACATTTGCAGTTCTGAAGGTTTGGAGTATCTATGCAACAAAACACCTAGCCTCCACTTATAGGAGGTCTGACGGCCAGTTCATCTCCATCTTTAACAACTGCAGATTCAGATGTGTATTCCTCATTTAGAGCCAGGATCATGCACCCATGGATCTCTTCCAAGCTCGGAAACCTTGCAATAAGCTTATTCAAACCATCAAGGGCAGTCCTACCACATGACACCCATAATTGCATATCAGTCAAGCCTTAAATTTCTAGCCCGAGCAAACAACAAAACTTTTATCTCAACAGAAGTATTCACATTGTCTTTGTGTGTACCATCCAGATTTTTAGGTCCATTTTCTCTACCCTTGGCATCCATCAAAGAAAACCCTGTCCATAAGCATTAGTGGAAGTGACAAAAATGCTCAATATAACACTACCTCCAACCTCAAACAAACGATGTAAGAACGTTGATTTCATGTATGGTAAATGTAAATAAGCTACCCAAGTTCATATCTGAATTAAAAATGTCGATTATTCTATCTTTTATTTTATTTTTTTCTTTTGGGAAAAAAAAATGCTCGAAGGCATGTCCACAAAATTAAGAAAGGGTGATTGTTGATGTAAGCTTGCACTGATATAATATGCAGCTGTGGTTAATTTTAATATTTATGGATGTGCAAATGAAATGGCAATCATATATTAGTAACCAGAAACCTTCAAGAATTTAAAAGGGTCTGTTTAGTTCAGTTTTTAGAAAACCGTTCTCGAGAACTTAGAATATAGAAATGTGTTTTCAAAAACATATAAAAAATTAATTTTTTTTTAAAAAAAAAAATCATAAAATAATTTTCAAAAATTAACCACCAAAAGAATTTTCTGTATAATCTTCTGATTTTCGGTTGTCTAAAAACTAAACAGGCCCTAAACTTCAATATTATGCTGGCAAATTTAGCTTAGCTTCACAGCAAGGGGATTGATAAGCCAACCAAGGACTAGGTTTTCAGATTCTAGAAAATTAAATTATTGCCCAAGGTTAATGGGTTAACCAAATTTTACACTAAAATGCATGGAAAGTAGAGAGAAAGAAGACATATTTGTCATCACTCATCCAAATCCTCACCCATCAATAATTAATTTAATCTCTCTCTTTGCATATACACATAAGACTCTCAATACAAGAATAAATAAGATAAATTAGAGAGAGAAACTTTAAAACAAAATTTGAGTATGGAGAAAAAAATAGAGAAATTAGAAATACACCTGATTTTAATTAGATGCCCTGTGCTTCCCCTTCTTTTTCTCTCTCTTCCCCTTCACCTTTTTCTTTCTTCCCTTGTTCTCAGAAGTAGACCCAGATGATGTTGGCTGTCTTTTATCATCCACCTTGCACTCACCAACATTTTCATACAACCATTTCCTCTCTTCTTCCGTTTCTTCCAAAATCACATCCTGGGCACGAAGCCAAGGCCCATACTGATAAAACCCTCCAATTTCCGAACTCTGTGGACACGACCATTGTGTGTGTCCAACACAACCGCATATATAACAAAAGCTGCCCAGCTTTTCATACCGAAAAGGAGCCCAAAATATATGTTCTGAGTCAAGAAGATGTATACCTCTTCTCAGAGGCTTCGTAATATCGAGCTCAATTCTAAGACGGAGCATTCGTCCACCCCCCTCCTCCGAACCTTTGTCTCGAATTTGGACTTTCAAGCATTTACCCACCTCGCCAGCAATTTTCTCCGCCGCAGCTTCATTGAGGAATTTGATGGGTAGATCCAACACCTGTATCCAGAAGGGTGTCCGAGTGAAATGAGAGTCGTTGAAAATGATACAACTATCATCATCTGTCCATGCTCTCATGACCACCAAGTGTTTGTCGAAATGCCAAGGGCCGCCGAGGACGACTCTTCGGCGAACTTCATCATCTGGAATGATGAACTGGAAGATGTTAACTCCACCACCAACATAAACCACCAGCGATTCTTCAATGCCCCATAATTTCCCAAACTCCTTCTGAACTTTAGAAGTTTTAAACATGTATTTGTTTGACCAAATTTTCCCAAGTAAACTCATACGACACAATTGGAGACCTGGGAGAAGGACTTCTTCAGGAACATCAATGATGGGTACCCTTTCGGCTTCTGTAAGATTGACATTCTGAAGCGAAGAAACCAACTGTCCTCCTTCCACGGGATGGATGAAGTAACTACAAAATGAGAAAACAGAGAAAGAGAGAGCCAGCACTCCAAGTCTGCAAATAATACTCAGAAAAAGTAGTAAATATCATCAGAGAAGAAAGTTACTGCAAAAAGAGCAATTCACCACACACAAATTGAGATGGGCCCGGAGTCCCGTACTTCAAAATGATGCTTAATCAAAATTGAAATCTACCGAACTTCAAAAAAATTATCGTTGGCGGTAAAGTGAAAAAATAATAATAAAAAAAAAATAATACAACCCTCTAATATAAATGTGCAAATACGTTCCTTGGAGTTCAAAAACAGCCCTATATTTTTTAAATTAATTAAATATGAACAATTCTTTAATTTGAAAGATTAAATATCCCTAAAATGCCATTAATACAAACTAAAATTAAAATAGTAAAAAATAAATAAATACTTTAATTTGAAGAACGAAATACCTAAAATAGGCCTAAAAAAATTAAATAGCAAAAATATTAAATAAATAAATAAATCATAAGTACATTTTTAAAAATTTGGATAAATTATAGTGAGAGCTCTTAGGTTTATCATTTGACAATCATATAAGTACGGGTTAGTCAATTTTTTAATAATGACACCCATGGAAAAAAAAAATTCTCTCCAGTTGCTCGCTCGTGATGTCTGCTAAGCATCTAACTATGGTAATTAACGTTACCTACCCAACATAGCCTTATCATCACCAGGTTAAGAAAGAAATTTACTTTTGTTTTACTATATATACTAATACCATTTTTTACGTTATATTTAGAGAAGCAATATTCGCATTTCACTTTTATACGTTTGCATTACATTTATCATTATCTATTGAAAATAACAAAAAGGTCATTGAATTCATTAATGCACTATCTCTTATTTTATAATACCATAACCACCCTTTTTACAACTTTAACTTCCTTTTTTTTTTTTTTTTTTTTTTTTACTTTCTTTAGTTTCTATAAAATAAATTTGCTTGTGCTATACTTTCTTTTCTTTTTCTTTTCAGAGGTTCTCTCAAAGTAGATAATTTATTCCATATTGATAATTTTATTTTGACAATCAAAAGGGATAATTTATTCAATAGTAACTTTTTCTTTTTTTGCAATCGAAACAAATAATTTATTCAACAAAATTAATTCTTTTTTCTGTTATGTTTTGTAATGACCCTGTCATTTTCCTTCCTTTCATTTTTCTCAAATTTTACGGATAAATTTTTTCCGTTGAATTTTCTTTTCTGAGTTTGGTTTCTCGTCGCTTAGTGTCGTCTCAAGTGCTTGGGAATGGTTTCTAAAACTCTTTCCTTTGAATTGACAACTTCCTTAAAGGACCACGTCATTTCCACATTTTCATTTTTTTGACACTATTCACTTTTCATCTTTTTCCCGTTTGTCACTTTGTTGGCACAACCTCACTTTCCGTGTTCGGAGTTGAGTTTTGACTTCACAAGCTTTTATTCCAGTTGATTTTCTCGAAACACGTAACTCTACTTTTAGAGAAAAGCTTGCCGGTTGTTCCTTTGTCCCGCAGGGGTGTGGATGAAAGGATTATTCAAAAACATTGATGTTTCTTGGGTGTTTTTCATAAATATCTTTTAAAGGTATTTTCATTAGGGTTTTTTAAGAAAATATCTTTTAGAAGATATTTTCATTCTGGCCAGTTTCGCAGTTATCATTTCTTAGAGGGGTCATTGTGCAATTAACGAAAGTTATTGTAAAGTGCCTCATTTTGAGCATGGATCCTCGTACGGGATTCATTTTCACATTTCGTCAAGTCGTGAACTCTTATACTCCTACTCCTCAGCTCAAGACCCCTTTTGAGACTTCCCAATTCACTATGGCTTCTCCTTACGGGTGGAAAACAAACATTTACATGAAGCAACTCCTTGCTTCGCCTTGCTAAGAGAACAATCTTCCCTTAGTCTTCCTTTGGGTCACACCAGCCCGATGGGTCAAACCAACCCCTTACAATTGATAATAATAAGAACAATGAAGTACAAGAAATATCTCTCAAAGATTGATGTACAAATTTAGCTCTCAACTAGAGTATATAAGAATATTAATGAAGCTCAAACTCTATAAATGATATGAATGAGAGAAGATGATATAAGTGAAGAACAAAGGCTCTAATGAACTCAATAAGATCTCTCAAGTGTATAATAAAACAAAAGCTCTATGAAGATTCGAATTAGAGCAAAAGCCCTTTGAATCCTTAGTTAAATCTCTCAAGATTTGTATATATGAGTGAATGAGAGAGATGAAGAGAAGATTTGAGAACAAAAGCTCTTTTTAATGCAATATGAAATCTTTCAAATGATGTCTCTTAATTATTCAGACATTCCCCACTCTATTTGTAGAGTTTGCAAGCTCAATATAGCTGTTAGGAGTTGAATGCATAGGGGTCGAGGAGAATAGAGCCGTTGTAGTTTGAAATTTGCAGATTCGACAGGAACCGGTTGACATATGGCATAAACCGGTTGATGTATGCTACAAACTGGTTGATGTATACTACAAACCAGTCGACGTTTTCTTCATGAACCAGTTGATGTATGCTTTAAATCAGTCAAAGTAAATGAGCTTCATCTTGACATTTTCTACTGCCTAGATACTGGTCGACGTATGCATCAAACCAGTTGATGTAAATAAGCTTCATCTTGAAATTTTGCTATTGGACATAAAATAGCATGACTTCAAATGGACATAGCTCGGTTCATTTAACTCCAAATGAGGTCAAATTTGAGTCTAAATTCATTGCCTTGAAGTCAGCTTTCTAATGCCACCGGCCTTACTCAAAAACTCCAACCACAAAAATGGTTATGGCCGTTTTAATGCAACCTAATCAGAAATTTTGCAAACCAGGATCAGCTGCTTTGTGATGGTTATATCTTACTCAATTCAAATCCTTTTTAGGCGAAATTTGAGTCTAAATTCAAGGGCTCGAAGTCAGCTTTCCAATGCCACTAACCTTAATTAAAAATTCCAACTACAAAAATAGTTATAACATTTTTAGTAAAGGCTGGTCTGAAAATTTTCTGGGATGAAAATTACTTCTCATGAGATAGCCATCTTTCTACCACCTAGGACTATGATGTATGGCTCAATTTAGTTCAAGTCCAGTTTCTAAGAGTCTAGGGACATATGAAGATGACAAATTTTAAGTTCATTGTGTCCTAGAGTTTTTTACCAAATCATGATAACAAAGGTTTTAAAGATGAAATATTAAGTTTAATGCCTTACTTTTACTTTCTAGAGACCAAAATAAATCATATGATTAATGTGCATGGTCCTAGCATTTCTAACTTAAGTTGTGAGTTCTTTCAAAACTTAAGCAAGTTTGAACTAATTCTTTCTTAGCAAAGACTTCATATGTCTATGAAGTGCATAGTCTATTGCTATTGGATATAGAAGCATATGAATGATATGCATGGTCCTATAGAGATAAGCTTCAAATAGATTCATAAATACTTTAACATTGAATCCTAAACACTCACCAACCTATCTACCCCTTTCTTCAAGCTTTGTCTATGATCGTGTAGGCTTTGAGGTAGTACTGTTTTCTTCCTTTCTTTGAGTTGCTTTCTTGCTTATTGTAGTCCATGCTATCTTTGGATGGACTTTGAATTTTGTTCCTTACAACTTCAACTCTTCTTTGTATTCATTTCTTTCATTGATGTGATCTTGAATGATGGAATACTGGGAATGATCTTATGATACCCCTCGATTCTAGAGCCACGGGTGATCAAGTTCGAGCACAAATCCGAGGGATACCAAACAATTAATATGTAAAACGAACACGGAATACAAAACTGAATTTAAAAAAATATATATATATATATAGCTGAAAAGAAATCTAATTACAAAATCCTCAAAGGTTATTACGGTAAAACCAATAATCTAAAACCTCCCTTTATTTACAACTCGGGAATCCATCTAGTGGACCCCTAATAAAAATCCCAACGGTAAAATGAAATAACTGAAATAAGATCCAAAGCTAATAAGTAAGCAGTCCTACGTAGTCGGTGGAATAGAAGTCTGTATTTGCTCTGTACAACCAAGTTTTAACCCTGGAACTGACAAGCACCTGAAAATAATAAAAGAATGGGTCAGGCCCACATGCAAGTCCTGATTTACTACGATCCAAACAAGAATTCGATACGTAGATACATCCTAGATAGACTCAACAATATCTAGAGTAGTCCATATATGTATATAATACACACTATAAGACGCTCATTAGTCCAATAAGTCTGTCTCAGCCTGAGTAGAGATACCTTGCAAATTGCACATTACGTGGTCTTGTGTACCTAGACCTACCAGGGAACAGCAACTACTGTCCAGCTATCCATCCTAGGCGATATATGCACCTTAACCATGGTCCTGAGACTCAAGCTCATACCATAGTACCATAACATAAATATATAAAGTCCGTTCCAAGTGTGTCATTCAAAAGGTTTATTGACTTGACACTTAGTTATAAGTAGGACTTAACTTTTATGGTTAATCCATCTTATTTCAATATGGGTAGGACTTAGTGTTTGAACTAATCCATCCCCAATATAAGTAGGTCTCAGTGTTTTGAACTGAGCCGTCCCTATTATGCCACCGTCCCATACCGGTGCATAGACATCCATACAAGTAGGACTTAACTTTTTATAGTTAATCCAACTCATTCCGAAATAGGTAGGGTTTAGTGTTTTACTAATCCATCCCTAGTATGCCACCGTTCCATACCGGTGCATATAGTCCTCCAATCCACATAGTTGATAAAAATAACATTAATTAATTTATCAACAATTCTCCGAAATATGCATCAGTATAGTTTAATACATATACAATGTCATTAGGTATTCACTACAGAACCTAAAAATCATGCTCCAATTATTTAAACTGCTAAAATAAATCATAACGTTTCAATCCTCCACAACAGCCGATAAATCGATACAATTATACCAATTTAAGTATCAATTAAATCCAACCTAAGTATAGTTAAATAAAATTAATTCACCATACTTATAACACTGTAAAAATATATGATTATATATAATTATAATATATATAAAAAAC